TTTTTTTAATACTAATGCAGTGAATAGTTAAGTCTTGTTTTGGATTTGTTTTTGGTTAGATTTTGAGGTTTTGGATATGCAACTCAGTTGCAATGTTGGTCAAATGATACTAAAGTTTCCTCACACTCTGTCGATTAAGTAAAGTGTTTTTTTTGTTGAGTGAATAGTTATGTCCTGTCTCTGATTGGATTTAGGTTAAATCTGCTAAAAAGTTTTCGATCTGGAACTCATTTGTCTCATTGATCAATTGATACTAAGTTTCCTCACATTCTGTCGATTAAGTAAAATGTTTTTTTTTATACTGTTGCAGTGAATAGTTAAGTCATGTTTTTGATTGGATTTTGAATAGATCTGCTAAAGAGTTTTGGATCTGCAACTCATTTGTATCATAGATCAATTGATACTTAAGTTTCCTCACATTCTGTCGATTAAGTAAAATGTTTTTTTTTTGTTGCAGTGAATAGTTAAGAACTGTTTTTGATTGGATTTTGGTTAGATCTGCTAAAGGATTTGGATATGCAACTCATTTGCACCATAGGTCAAATGATACTAAAGTTTACTCACACTGTCTGGCCAAATGATACTAAAGTTTCCTCACACTGTCGATTGAGTAAAATGTTTTTTTTTTCTGCTGCAGTTAATAGTTACGTCCTGTCTCTCATTGGATTTCGGCTGAGTCTACTAAAGGGTACTGGATCTGCAACTCATTTGCACCATTGATCTATTGATACTAAAGTTTCCTCACATTCTGTCGATAAAGTGAAATGTTTTTTTTTTATACTGTTGCAGTGAATAGTTAAGTCCTGTTTTTGATTGGGTTTTGGTTAGATCTGTTAATGGATTTGAATGTGCAACTCATATGCACCATTGGTCAAATGATACTAAGGTTTCCTCACACTGTCTGGTCAAATGATACTAAAGTCTCTTCACTCTGTCGATTAAGTGAAATGTTTTTTTTTATACTGTTGCAGTGAATAGTTAAGTCCTATCTCTGATTGGATTTTGGTTAATTCTGCTAAAGAGTTATGGATCTGCAACTCATTTGTATCATTGATCAATTGATACTAAAGTTTTCCCACATTCTGTCGATTAAGTAAAATGTTTTTTTTTAATACTGTTGCAGTGATTAGTTAATTCCTGTTTTGATTGGATTTTGTTTAGATCTGCTAAAGGTTTTGTATATGCAACTTATTTGAAATGTTGTCAAATGTTACTAAAGTTTTCTCACACTCTGTCGATTAAGTAAAATATTTATTTTTTTCTGTTGCAGTGAATAGTTAAGTCCTGTTTTTGATTGGATTTTGATTAGATCTGCTAAAGGTTTTGGATATGAAATTCTTTTGCACCATTGGTCAAATGATACTAAAGTTTCCTCACACTCTGTCGATTAAGTAAAATGTTTTTTTTTCTGTTGCAGTGAATAGTTAAGTCCTGTCTCTGATTGGATTTCGGCCTAATCTGCTAAAGAGTACTGGATCTGCAACTCATTTGCATCCTTGATCAACTGGTATTAAAGTTTTCTCACATTTTGTCGATCAAGTAAAATGTTTTAATATCTATTTGCTGTTGCTGTGAATAGTTAAGTCCTATCTCTGATTGGATTTTGGTTAAATCTGCTAAAGAGTTTTGGATCTGCAACTCATTTGTATCATTAATCAATTGATACTCAAGTTTCTCACATTCTGTCGATTAAGTGAAATGTTTTTTTTTTATACTGTTACAGTGAATAGTTAAGTCCTATCTCTGATTGGATTTTGGTTAAATCTGCTAAAGAGTTTTGGATCTGCAACTCATTTGTATCATTGATCAATTGATACTAAAGTTTTCCCACATTCTGTCGATTAAGTAAAATGTTTTTTTTGTTACTGTTGCAGTGATTAGTTAATTCCTGTTTTGATTGGATTTTGTTTAGATCTGCTAAAGGTTTTGTATATGCAACTCATTTGAAATGTTGTCAAATGATACTAAAGTTTTCTCACACTCTGTCGATAAAGTAAAATATATATTTTTTTCTGTTGCAGTGAATAGTTAAGTCCTGTTTTTGGTTGGATTTTGATTAGATCTGCTAAAGGTTTTGGATATGAAACTCTTTTGCACCATTGGTCAAATGATACTAAAGTTTCCTCACACTCTGTCGATTAAGTAAAATGTTTTTTTTTCTGTTGCAGTGAATAGTTAAGTCCTGTCTCTGATTGGATTTCGGCCTAATCTGCTAAAGAGTACTGGATCTGCAACTCATTTGCATCCTTGATCAACTGGTATTAAAGTTTTCTCACATTTTGTCGATCAAGTAAAATGTTTTAATATCTATTTGCTGTTGCTGTGAATAGTTAAGTCCTATCTCTGATTGGATTTTGGTTAAATCTGCTTAAGAGTTTTGGATCTGCAACTCATTTGTATCATTAATCAATTGATACTAAAGTTTCTCACATTCTGTCGATTAAGTAAAATGTTTTTTTTTAAATACTGTTGCAGTGAATAGTTAAGTCTTGTTTTGGATTTGTTTTTGGTTAGATCTGCTAAAGGTTTTGGATATGCAACTCAGTTGCAATGTTGGTCAAATGATACTAAAGTTTCCTCACACTCTGTCGATTAAGTAAAGTGTTTTTTTTTGTTGAAGTGAATAGTTAAGTCCTGTCTCTGATTGGATTTAGGTTAAATCTGCTAAATAGTTTTCGATCTTCAACTCATTTGTCTCATTGATCAATTGATACTAAAGTTTCCTCACATTCTGTCGATTAAGTAAATTTTTTTTATATACTGTTGCAGTGAGTAGTTAAGTCATGTTTTTGATTGGATTTTGAATAGATCTGCTAAAGAGTTTTGGATCTGCAACTCATTTGTATCATAGATCAATTGATACTTAAGTTTCCTCACATTCTGTCGATTAAGTAAAATGTTTTTTTTTGTTGCAGTGAATAGTTAAGACCTGTTTTGATTGGATTTTGGTTAGATCTAAAGGTTTTGGATATGCAACTCATTTGCACCATAGGTCAAATGATACTAAAGTTTACTCACACTGTCTGGTCAGATGATACTAAAGTTTCCTCACACTGTCGATTGAGTAAAATGTTTTTTTTTCTGCTGCAGTTAATAGTTACGTCCTGTCTCTGATTGGGTTTCGGCTGAGTCTGCTAAAGGGTACTGGATCTGCAACTCATTTGCACCATTGATCTATTGATACTAAAGTTTCCTCACATTCTGTCGATAAAGTGAAATGTTTTTTTTTTATACTGTTGCAGTGAATAGTTAAGTCCTGTTTTTGATTGGGTTTTGGTTAGATCTGTTAATGGATTCGAATGTGCAACTCATATGCACCATTGGTCAAATGATACTAAAGTTTCCTCACACTGTCTGGTCAAATGATACTAAAGTTTCTTCACACTGTCGATTGAGTAAAATGTTTTTTTTTCTGTTGCAGTTAATAGTTACGTCCTATCTCTGATTGGATTTGGTTGAATCTGCTAAAGGATTTTGGATATGCAACTCATTTGCACCATTGATCAAATGATACTACAGTTTCCTCACATTATGTCGGTTTAGTGAAATGTTTTTTTTCCGTTGCAGTGAATAGTTAAGTCCTGTTGTTTGGAATTTCGTTAGATCTGCTGAATGATTTAGATATGCAACTCATGTTCACCATTGGTCAAATGATACTTAAGTTTCCTCACTCTGTGTCGATTAAGTAAACAGTTTTTTTGTTGCAGTGAGTAGTTAAGTCCTCTCTGATTGGATTTTGGTTAAATCTGCTGAAATGTTTTGGATCTGCAACTCTTTTTTTATCATTGATCAATAGATACTAAAGTTTCTCACATTCTGTCGATTAAGTGAATAGGCTTTTAATACTGTTGTAGCGAATAGATAAGTCCTGTCTCTGATTGGATTTGGTTGAATCTGCTAAAAGGTTTTGGATATGCAACTCATTTGCTCCATTGGTCAAATGATACTAAAGTTTACTCACACTCTGTCGATCATGTAAAATGATTTTTTTCTGTTGCAGTGAATACTTAAGTCCTGTCTTTGATTAAAGTTTGGTTGAATCTGGTAAAGAGTGTTGGATCTGCAACTCATTTGTATCATTGATGATTGATACTAAAGTTTTCTCAAATTGTCGATTCAGTAAAAAAAAATTATTTTGTTGCAGTGAATATTGAAGTCCTGTATTTGATTGGTTTTTGTTAGATCTTAAGTATTTTGGACATGCAACTCATTCGCACTATCGATCAAATGATACTTAAGTTTCCTCACATTATGTCGGTTAAGCGAAATGTTTTTTTTTCTGTTGCAGTGAATAGTTGAGTCCTGTTTTTGATTGGGGTTTGGTTGGATCTGTTAAAAGATTTTGGGTATCCAACTCATTTGCGTCATTGCTCAAATGATATTTACACAATCAATGCTTGTGTTATAATATGAACTATCTTTTTTCCAACCTAAGTCGCAAATATCGTTGCGACGCAAATATTTTTGCGATTAAATGTGTTCAATTTGAAAGTGTTCATTTTGATCAATAAGCAGCTATTAAGTACTGCGAATGCTAAGAATTTTAAGACAGACTATTATTGTTCCGACGTTCCTTACAAAAGTAACGGATTTGTGCTCGGTGTGGTTTTTTTTTAGACAAATTTTAACTAGCCTTTTTTTAGTTGCAGTGATTAATTAAAATGTTTTTTTTTTAATATACTGTTGCAGTGAATAGTTAATTCATGTCTCTGATTGGATTTTGGGTATATTTGCTGAAGGATTTTGGGTATGCAACTCATTTGCACCAGTGGTCAAGTGATACTAAGGTTTCCTCACTTTATATCGATTAATATATTTTTTTTGCTTTTGCAGGGAATGCCTATCTTTCGATAATTCTGCTCAGCGGAGACTGTTCTCCTTATTTTTTAACCAGCTTCATTCAATTTTTGTGCCGCGAATGATAATTTTGTTAACTTTGAAATAGTTTTTCCAGTGTTCGTGAAGGATTTGTTTGATGTGAATTGTGTATCTTTTCAGTTAGCTCACGACAGATGGTGTCGCGAAAAAAAAGCATACATGTGGAAAAGGTGTGGCATACTGAAGACATGGCAGCAGACAAAGCAGCAACTAGTTCTCAAGGTCACAGCTTTGCTAACCGAGGCATCCCACAAGAGTGATGAAATGCAGAAGCTCAATTTGGAGAAGGAAGCCCAGATGAAATACTGCAGACACCTAATGGACAAGGTATAATTAATCAATTTAAACTAACGGTTTATCATCAATCAAATTTAGTTTCTATCGGATATGTTCAAGAAAAAAATGGTGGTTCATTTCTTGCCATTCGTTGACCAAGTATTTGTTGTGGAGTATTAATTAAGCGATTTGGAATTGAAGCCAATCGGGGTTCATAAATAGAGAATATTGAGTCAATAGTTGTTTAGGTGAATGCGTGGAAAGAGGCGAAAGCGGAAGAAGCGAGACTTGAAGATGAACTAGCCGCTCTTCAGGCACAACGAGAGAGGCTGAAGACAGATGAGAAACTGAAGAGAGAAAAGTCCACTAGGATGCAACAGAAGCACGAGATCCAACACTTCAGGTAATTTCAATTCAACCAAGGTCCTGCTGTTCGTTTTTGTCAATTTTTCCAGATAGACAGCGCCAATATTTAAGTGTTCAAAATTCAATTATAGTTTTCCTTTTTTTTAATTGGCTGGTTGACTCTGAGTTGTTTCAGAAATGCGAAGAAGTTGATGAGTGAGGAAGCGGAGAGGATGAAAATGATGAAGTTGAGGGAGATCCAAGAACAACTGGCCAATCAAGCTGCATTAGACCAGGAGAGGTGAGAGGAAGCAGCAAGTAGAAAGTAGCAAGCCAAAAAAGAAAAGCAAAGAAACATGTGCTGTTTATAAATCACCCACATAGATGCAAATGAGATCACTTTGTTCTCCATTTTCACTTCATCCTACCCTCTAACGGATCCCCCCTCTTAAAAGTTGATAAAAAACAATGTAAGCTAATGAGTTAATTCGTGCATTTTCCGTTTCTGCGATCAAATATTAAAAATTGATTTCGAACACAATTAGCTTTGAAATATTGTCATTTTTTTCCAATATGTTTTAACATGATCAATAATGAAACGATTATAAGGAGCTTAGTTAGAAGTTTGGTTCATGAATTATTCAAGTTAGTGTATAAAATGCTGCGCGCATTGAAAAGTATTTGCACAACTACAATTGAGTTTGCTGCTTTCAGAATCGAGTATCGGAAGAAAGAGCGAGAAAAGAAGCTGGAACGGATGGCTGCTCAGAACAAGAGGAGAGAAGAGGAGAAGGAGAGAGTGGAGAGGAAGTTGGAGGAGTTGAGGAGTCAAGTGAGGGTGGAGGCTCAGCGAGACCCAGAGAGGACTGTCCAACCCACTGTGGCTTCCGATGCCAGATTCGCTCATCTCAATGGCGGCGCCCACTCGGAGACTGCATACGAACCGCTAAATGCCCAGTTGTTTTCAGTTAACACTTTCAACAGTAAGTCCACAAATTCAAACATTTCGAACAGTAGTACGTCCAGAATCGAACATTTTGCAGCGTATTTTGTTGGTCTAGCAAATAAGTTCCGAGCTTTCCGAAAACATGAAAAGATCTGTTTGCCAAAAACCGCCACTGTTTTTTAGTACGTTGTCTTAGTCGATAATGCATCATTGAAAACAGATAGCTGTGAGTAGCCTTAGTTCAAATGGCTCAAAACAAAACAGAATGAAATTTTAACCTAGCAGAATAAAAAGGTTACCTATTGATCCTGTTTTTTTTCTTCAAATTGAGTTAACTTCAGCAAACGATTTTTACAGGCGATATTTTTTTCTTTGAAGCGAACTGGAGTTTGTTTTTCAAATACTCAGTATTTTTTTTCGGTCTTGTTCAATTTTCATTGACACTTGTCTAACGGCCTATTGTTGTTAACTTCAGTTTATCGCAAATATCAACGTTTTACCGAATTTACTGGAAATTTTCCCGTTTTCGATCATTTAATTAGCAAACGTTTATTTGCTGAAATTACAGTTATAAAGGGGTGGATTTAGGAGAAAAAGCACCCCCTTACCCCCCCCCCGCTACTACCTCAGGATTGCACGCCCTCTGCCTCACGAACCAAGACTCCCCGCATAAGTTCATTTAAAATGTACTGTTTCACTTCAGATAAACAACTGAAGAAAGACAACCGAGTGCAGGTGGAGAATGCATTGCGGCAGGCGGGTCTGCTGCACACGGACTATGCCAGAAGTGTCATCCAGAGCATGCTGCCTCCGAAGCCACCCAGAAAAGACACCTTCTCAAACATCAAATTCACTCAAGATGGAGTGATATGATGTGACTATTCTAGAAAAAAACTAAGTTGTATGTGGCTAACAGAATTCGTCTTACTGAAAAATTGACACATTGATATACTATCTGGCTTTAGTCATGTTTAGTAAATTTATTATCGATCGATTCTGTTCTCGATTAGCTCGTAAGATTTTTTCAACTAATGGGCTGATACGTGATGCAAGCTTGACAATACGCAGACAAATACAGAGTAAAATACTCCTGGTGGTTATACACACGTAAGGTTGATGAACCCCATACCGCTATGGCACAGAAAAAAAACGAAATAAAACAAAATTTGGCGTAGGACGAATTCTGTCAATCAAATGTACGTAACGAAATCTGCAGTAGAACACGCTAGATAATTAAAATTGTATAGTGCAAATATGTGATATTTGGATTGTAAATATTTTACAAAGAGTTTTCTGATGCTTAAATTATAGACGAATTTAGTATATCGAGAAGATCGTCTAGTTTCTAGGTCCAGTTAGGGTTTTCACGAGCATTGCTGCCCGCCACATTCAGGTCTCGAATACGTGCTCTCCATTGGCTTCTGTTCCGGGCGTTTTCTTTGTACAAATGAAATTTGCCTCTGCTGTTGAACTTTGCTGATAGTTTAGACTCTTAATTATTATCTATATATCAATGAGCGAAGTGAAGACACTTAAATAGTTCGTGTTGTTTTTTACCCTTGCGATAAGCAACGGTATTGCAATCGGGTGCTTTTTTTCTTTCTCGAAAAAAGCTTAGTTGACAGAATGAATGTAATTGTGGTCCTATCCATATCTGCTTTCGTCACTCAGCAGACAGACAGAGAACAGGCAGTTTTTGAGCTTGTCTGCATGTTGAATGTCTTTTCTATTCGATTTTTGTTCCATGTTGGTTGTAATTTAAGAATATTTCACTATATCAGTTTTTTTGTTCCTGTTTTCTATTTCTTTTTTTTTCATTCGGTTTTGACTGATTATATATATCGGCTTAGAGACCTCTTGTTAAGTAGATTGAGGAGCAATAAATATCTAAGTGTTTTGAGGAAGACTTGACAACTTTTTGAGTTTTTAAGATTTTACAATTACCCTTGCGATAAGCAAGGGTATTGCAATCAGGTACTAGATTTTTTCCCCGTAAATAACTTAAGGGACGAAATGGTCAAATCGTAAAAAGTGCAAGTGCATTGTTGCTTGTGGTGACTATATTAGATCTATCCAGTTACGACGCGGCATTTAGTTGTGTATCGTTAAGAGTTGCAAATGATTTTTTGTAGGTTTCCGAATTCGAGAAAAGCATTGAAAAATAAGACAAAGAGTTGAATCCAAACGTTCCCAGTGCTGAAAATGTACCACTTTTTTGGTACATTTTCGGGACGGACATCAGTCGGCTTCAACTCTCGGCCTATTTTCCTAATGTTTTTTTTATGAATAACTTTCCTGGGGATTATATGAGTGATTGAATTCTTTGAATGAAATTGTGGAAAATTTTAATCAGCCTCTTGGACTTTCTAAATGACATGAAAATTTAAACAAAAAAAAAATCAAAGTTTGAAGTTTTGCGTTGTGATTTGAAATATTCAGTATTGAGTCTTATAATTTATCTGAAGCTATTGACTTCAAAACGTTTTTTTTTGCTTCAGTTTTTTTTGTAATTCTTTCACTTTAATTCGCACTCAGCCGGTGTTTGTATTTAGTCAGCTGCAGTCATTAAAAGTTTTTAGCTGAACAATGTCTCATAATGCTATCCCAAGCAAAAAATCAAAAACTTGTTAGCCTCTTTACTTTGTCCGCAATCGTCCGCCTCTTTAGTTTTGGCTTAGTTCGCGTTGCACGGACACTTTTTAAAGATTGTTTTCTTTTAATTTTCTGAAGGACTCAAGTGGAAGTGATTGAATTGAAATCTTTTTCGAAATATAAATATTTTTTAAAAGGTGCATTATAAGGTGCATTTTTTAAAAACAATTTAAATGCAAATTTCTCAAGTTTTTTTTCAAAAATTCATCAAAATTTTTATAACTGTCGATTAACGACCACGGAATTGAAACACAGCCTATTATTATTTTCGCAATTAGCATTGTTGGATTTTTACCGCTACTTATTTTTTGTTCCTATTCAATTGTAAACAAGTTGTCTTATTTTGCATGTTAATTTTGTTTGAAATGAATTTTTTTCTAGACAAGTTGATACAATTTCTAGACAAATTGACAAAGTCGTTTTATTTTCCGATTTAGGTCTTGCATTAGCTACACATGAAGCACTCGTGGTGGCCAATTTTTCAGCATTACATTTAAGTTGATTTACTGCTTAATGGCTGTCAGTTTTGTTTTTGTTAAACGGCTTTTCTAAAATGTGCTTAGCCCCTGTTTCATTTTTTTGGAGGTTTGAATTTCGAATAATTTTCAACCCCACTTGAAATCTAATCAACCCGAATGTGAAGGGAACTGCGCTCTCCGATAGCAAATAAGCAAATGACGGAAATATATTAGAGTGACTCCAAGTTATTACACTAGCAAACGCTTGATATATTGCTAAATTACTGTTTTCAACTTCCTGTTTCAAGCCGCGAATCGTAGTGCAACTAACTTTTGCTCTTTAGGGCAATTTTTTCTCACTTAAGAGAGCTTGCAGGAATTCGTGTGTTAGTGAAAACCTTTGTTTTCTAACCTTACTCGCAAATAAAGTAATTCATTAATTACTAATTTCAAGTTAGCTTTTATCACAATCTGTAGCATTGGAAATCTTATAGCATCTGTTCTCTGCTATATTTGTGGCTAGTGTTTGTAATTAATTAAGCGTCCTTGGCTGAGTGGTTAGTATGTGAGACCCCTAATATCTTGGTTGCAGGGTCGAATCCAACATGTAGCTGATTTTTTTAGTTCGAGGCTTTTTTCCAATTTTTATTGCATTTTGTAGGACTGCTTTTTGTGGTGTTCTCGATAAAGTTTGCGAAGCTAAGCTTCGCTTTTTTGTCAAGACTTGTATTTCGTCCTGTCAAATAACGGGTAGTTATTGGGATAGTTATAGCAAGATGCCAAAGTTGGCTAGCTTTAGCAAGATGCCAAAGTTGTCAATTTCTTGTGGTTGTGAGCGGCGAGGTTTGAATAACACTATATGCACCTTGATTGTGTTCGGCTTTTTTGTACCGACCATTGAAAATGGGGAGGAATTTTGTATAGGGTTGTAGTTAATTCTTTTACCACGCAAAATCAGTAACGCAAATAATCATTGGACTAGCTTGAGTGATTTATCATATTGAAGCACTTTCAGTCGTTATTCGAACGATCAAGTAAAAGTTAACTGTGAAGCGAAAAACCTCTTTGAAATTGTTAGTTTTTTGTCTAGTTTCGACTAAATATAGTTTTTGAATTGTTTTTTTTTAAGGCTGAAAAAACTAAATTTTCCAAACGGAAACTAGTTTTAACAGCTTTATTCACCACTTACCTGGCAATAAAAGTTTTTTTTTCAATTTTTCTTTCTGTTTTCGACTTTTGTCAATTCTGCTTAATTTTTTTTTACTTAAAACGCGTGTGTGTAGTTTTCTCATCACACCGCGCACAAAAAGACACTAACTTGAAGAAATCAATAATTTGAAGAGTTCATTTGTAGTTTTTATGAGTTTGGTCGGAAGATTCTGTGCTACTTGCACAGCAACCGGCTGTCTTTGCTCAGCTAAGGCTTTGGTTTTGCTCGCCTGTTTTTGATTTGTTTTCATTTGCGAAGTGCTGCTTCGCCTCTGTATAAAAATGAGTTTTAAGTATTAGAACTTTCAGCTGAAAAAAAAATCTGAAAAGAAAGCTTCCCTTGACTTGGTTTTCATACCGTATAACGTTAAAATTGTTAACAAAATCATACAACAGATTCATAAACCTTAAAAAACGTAATCACTGATTTTGGTTTAAAAGACCAATTAATTTACCTTTTTTATTCTTTTTGAATTTAAAGGCACCATCTAGTCACATCAATGAGTGATCTCAGATTTTGTTAATGGAATATGCCTGCCAAAGCCATGGTATATGAAAAAAGTCATTACACAGAATTGAACATTAAAACAAATCTTTCGAAGATAATTTGGGAAAGTTTCTACAGTCAAAACACTCCTGAAGATGATTGAAAACTTTTAAATTCTAATTTTTGACAATAGTAGTAAATGTTGGAGGTTAAGTGGGGGGGGGGGGGGGGTAGGGGGGGGGGGGTTTGGAGGTGGCAGACCCCTGTGTTTTTTAAGATAGGGAATAGAGCATCCGGTCTGCCAGCTATGTATTAACATTGGGTATAGAGTCTACAATGTATTGAGATAGGGAATACCAAATACCAATGGTAAGGTTTCAGTGTGATAATAAGAGAAAGAAAAACTAAATTTTTTGGTTATTGAGTGGAAATGTCTAGTTTTTTCGCGAAAGTTTCGGCGCCCGTTACCTAATTGTTAAATATCAAATGTTAATTACGTGTAGGTTGTGTAATGAAGGACTTTTAATTAGTTTTTTGATTTATGGTAAGTCAATGGTAAGAGTTTTTGGGTAAAAACTTGGAATTTTTATGAAAACATTTTCAAAAAAACTTTAAAACACGATAAGATTAGCTTTTATTGGACCTAATTTATCAAATAATCTTACTTTTTATCTAATTGAAACAATTATCTTACTTTCTATCTAATTGAAACAAAGATGAAACCTACTGAACCTTAGAAAAAAGTCAAAATTTTGAGAAAAAATTGCAAAAATTTCAAGTATTTGGAAAAAATTGCAAAAATTTCAAGTATTTGGAAAAAACTGCAAAAATTTCATGTTCTGCAAAAAACATTGCAGAAATCTCATAATTCTCGCTAATGTATTGTTGCTTCTGGTCTAATTTTAAACGTACTTTTACAAGTATAGTAAAGAAAGTATAGTAAAAAAATAATCGAATCTATCCAAAATTTTCCATTTTCAACGTTTCTTTGTTGATTAACTAATTTTTTAACCAGTTCAGGGCGAATTGAAATAGGATTCTCAATTCAAATGAACGTTAAGGCAACATTCTACAAAATTTCTAGATCAGAGTCCATGATTTAACTCCTCCTCAGTTTTATCTCAATGATTAACCCAAATTTGTACAAA